TCGACGGCTTTCCTGACATGATTAATATAGGAATCGATCCACGAATGCTTTCTCTGGTACCCACTCCAAAACACACTCGCCAAATAACCATTGATGATCAACGGTATCCGCTGATTCTCGATCGCGTTCAACCACTCATTAAAGTTGATGATCACCTCCATGCCGTCCGTTTTCGGTGTGAGTACCTGACGGTTATCATTGACAACCGAACGTTTACAATTCCGGGGACGGGATACACCCGTGTATTTGCTGCGTCCAAGGAGAGGATCGCCTACCTGGGTGGCCCTGGCCATGAAATAATAATTGATGGGAAACCCCATACAATCCCATTCAATTCGCATCTCACCTTCATAAACGTGGATAAGCAAACGGTATCGGTAAAGTTTGTTGGTGATTTCCCGCAAGATATAAACGTGCTTCCGGCCATTGCACCTAAATTGCTTGACTGGGCTGCACAGGGCCTTTTCGGTCCTGCCTCTAGCCTCAATTTGGCTCCACTTAACCCTCTAAATGAACTGACTCGACTTGCCACTGGGTGTAAACAAGAAGAGGCGAGGTCAGCTCCAGAACCCTCTCCCCCGAAACCGGAACCCTTGGAAACCAAACCACCCGTGAGTCAGCCTCCTCCTACTAGCAAAACCCAACCTACTCTTCCGGACCCTGCGCCAGTTGCTTTGCCGTCACTGGATATTCACGAGCTTTTTCAAAAACTTGTTGCTGCTGGAATCGTATCGAATCCTGTTGAACCTTCTGAGCCCCCACCGGTTGAAACTCCACCTGATATCCAGGAATATGCGTGGGAAAAGTTTCGCGTCCCATTTCCACATGAGATTGATGCTCTTTACAGTGGATATCAGTGTGTACAGTGTGGAGTACGATTCGAAAATGAGAGTTCACCGGATTTTGCCAAACACTTGGACTACCATTACGTAAAGAATTCGGCCGAACACCGAGACCGACAGAGTCGCACCTACTACCAATCCTACCATTATTGGCTCATGAGTGAAATGTCTCGAGACGGTGCCCCGCAATTCAAGGATACAGTTGAAGTTGAGGAGGAGGAACCAAAGTGTCCTGCCTTCACTGACCCGGCCCTTAATGTAGGTTTTCTTCTGTTTTACTCATAAGTTTCTGACTCTAATTTGCCAAAATGTATATAGTGCCTTGCTGTCATATCTGACCCCCCCCTTAATATTTGATGTTAAGAACTATTGGGAAGGTCGAGCCAACCCGTTTAGCTTTTTATAATCGTAGATCTTCCCGAGGTAGTGTGCACAAACAGTTGTAGTAATGCGTTTTATGCTGTGTGATTAAATCTTACCAACCACGAGCTTGTTTCCCCTAGGTTTGTGCGGTCTGCTTTGAAAAATTCGATCCATTCTGGGATCAGGATGAGGAAGAGTGGATGCTCCGGGGCGCTGTATTGGTTGGTGATAAGGTCTATCACCCCATTTGCCAGGAAGACGTTGGAAAGAATTTTAATGTACGTTGTTTTGTGTCCGCTGTGTTTGTTTTGTCTATAAAAGCCCGTTTCTATTATTGTCTCTGATGAAGGATCCTTGATTGATTTCGAAACGTCAGGCGAATAAAAATTCTTGCCCAGCAATCACGTCTGCTTACCCTCAAAGAATACTTCTTGACACTAGTTTCTGTGGATAAAAACTTCGTCTCTACATTCTTACCCTGTTGCTGCCACCCTAAGGCTGTCTTAGGGCACTCCCAGCACCGGAAGTATACTTGAATAATTACCAATACCGTGTCAGCGATAATAGGTATTGCACTTAAGAACGAAAATTCCTATCTAACTTCAGTTTAGACTCGCACAAGTTGCAACATTTACAGTACTCGCCCTTAGAAGCAGATGGAAACGAGTAAATTAAGCGTGCTCTAGTTGCCTTGCCATATTTTGAACCACAACTTGTTATTTTCATTTATATTCTGAGTGCTTGTATAATAAATTCACCTACAGATTAGTCTCAATAGTTTTCACAGCAAGCACAGTACTTCCACCAACGACCCTTTGGGTGTTTAGTTCAGACAAGTCTTCATTTAAAACGAATAATTCGGTCGGTCAGGTGAGTCTTTGTTTTTGGAGTTCAGTACGCACTTATGCTAAGGAAACTTTACTGTGAAGTGCAATTGTCGACAGACTATATCTTTGCTTTGCTCCCCGTTAGTGATAGTGACCATTCATTGCTTTCCTCCGCATCATACCCTCTGAGTCTTTCTAAAGTCCAGTAGACTCAAACCGCTTGACAACTTAGGCTTTTATACAAGTCAATTTGAGCGTTTATTAAAATCGATCACAAGCAACAGCAGAAGAAGGACCTCGGTTGCCATCAACGAACTTTCATTTCTGTAATTCAACACCTAATAACATATCTACTCACCTAAAGACCCTTGTAGAGATTAGTTGAGAATTTCAGCGAAAAAGTTAAGACCTCTCTTTAAAACAAGGAAACATCTTTAAGAGCAACTGCGCCTTATCCTAATGTCTCACAGCTCGCCGTGCTACTTCTTAATTTATGGATGACATATAGTAATTATTGGATCTCACTACAAACTAAGCGTATTGCACATCCATTTATGTAAGAAAATGTCGGATTTTTTTCTGATAATCTACCTGACCGTTTACTACCGGTGTTTTCCTTCATATATATAAGCACTTTAAAAATGGTAATCCCGCAATGCTTCACTAAAAAACACTTTACTAACGATGTTGGAGTTTCTATGCAACTTTTTTGCAACTTAAATCAAAAGGTAATGTCTGCGTACGTCTCAGTATAGTGCACTCTTATATAGCCCGAACAATCTACCCACGCAGTTGTTTAGTCCTATACTATCATCACGAAAGACAGCCTTACATAGCATTCATCTTTGTTACATTTTATGTATCAACCTCATGCACTTGTGTATTTTTCTTTTCAGGCTGAACGCTCTACAGAGAAGGGGGAGCAGTCAGCAGAACCTACACAGGGTTCTCTCAGTGATGACCAGAATGTCCCTCCCCCTGCTCCATCAGAGTCTCCCCACACCGCTGTTTCAGTTAAACATGAACAAATAGATAATAATTCTGACTTTGATTCTCAGACTCCGCTTACCGATCGAGCTCAACCACATCGAACTGCTAGTTTACCCTCGTTGAGCACACTTGTCCCACTTAAAGAAGAGGATACACCAGTTTTTCATAGCCCCGTGTACAAACGTGAAGACGAGTCTTCGTCTAAATGCGTAATCCCAGGTCTTTCACCACCGCACTCTCCGGCATCTGCTGATGTAGATAACACTGATAAAACTGGTGAATTGCAGGATGCCGACAAACTAAGCACTACGGGTCTCCCAGCCG